TTCATACATATCAAAAGTTCTGAAATCCGACCTCAAATGGTCCTTCAAATCCTCAAGCAAATGTCTAAGTTTCAAAGCCCTAGTTTCTCCAATTTTCACCCTTAATTTTCAAAATTTCTAGCTCTAATCCGTGAAATAATAGCATAGGAACGATTTTTAGGTCGAAATTCCTTACCTCAATGAAGTTCCCTTGAAATCCCTCTTTCAAACGAAGTTAAAATTGGTGAAATAGCTCAAATTTACGAAGGCCACAATTTATACCTTCTGCCCAGACATTTTCGCATCTGCGGCACAATATCCGCTTCTGCGGTACCGCATATGCGGCCACATAATTTTGTTGTTCTTCACTTAACGGATCAAAATCGCACCTGCGCTCAACATTCCGCACATGCGGCTTCGTAGGTATGGTCCCACAACCGCATCTGCGGTTCCTGACAACTCCTCAATAATCCGCTTCTGCTACTCCTCTTCCGCATGTGCGGAGTCGCACCTGCGGTTCCCAAGCCGCAGGTGCAGAAATACTAGAAGAAGCAAGGTTCAGCAGCTGCAACAAGTCTCAAACCTTTCCGTCAACCATCCGAAATCATCCCGAGGCCCCCGAGACCTCAACCAAAGGCACCAACATATCCCAAAACCTTATTCAAACTTGTACCAATCTTCCAAACACCTCAAACAACATCAAATCGATCAAAACACATCAGATTCAAGCATAAGTTTCTATAATCTTCCGAATTCCGCTTTTGATCAAAAACCCATAACCACGTCCGAATGACCTGAAATTTTGCACACACAGCCCAAATGACACAATGGAACTACTGCAACTCTCGGAATTCCATTCCGACCCCTATATCAAAATCTCACCTACCAATCGAAAATCGCCAAAATATCAACTTCGCCAATTCAACCCTAAATCTACTCCGAACCTCTAAAACTCATCCTGATTGCGCTCCTAAGTCTCAAATCACCTCCCAAAGCTAACCAAACCATCGGAAATCACATCCAATCCCTCTAACATATAAGTCAATATCCGGTTGACTTTTCCAACTTAACCTTCCTCAAAAGAGAATAAGTGTCTCAAACCTTACCAAAATCATTCTGAACTCGATCTGACCAACCCGATATCACAAAATACGGATAACAAGGCATAAAGAAGCAGAAATGGGGGAAAACGGAGCGGTAACTCGTGAGACGACTGGTCGGGTCGTCACAGTAGCCACAAAGTGGAGAAATAAAGAATTCTTACAAGCTACTATTTCTTTCACTGATTTTATTAAAAACTGGGAAGAAAGAATTTTGGAAATATTAATCAAAATAAAAAGAAGCTCTTGGCCAGACTGAATGGAATACAAAATTCTCCCTGTTATAACCATAGTCTTTTCCTTCAAGAATTAGAAGAATCTCTCATTAAAGACTTCAACAACATTCTAAAACGTGAAGAAGATTATTGAAAAATTAGATCCTGGATAAATTAGCTTAATGAAAGAGATGCCAACACCATGTTTTACCAAATATTGGCCTCTAATAGAAAGAGACAGTATCATATTATTTTTTTTCAAAAACAAAGAAGGTAATTGGATTGATAATCAACAAGATATTTTAAATCACACCTTCCAACATTTTATATCTATATTCACCACTAGTCAAGAAGTTACACACTGGTCCAACATAATGCACAATCCCTCTAGCTTTGATAACATTGACCTCACAAATTTAGATAAACCCTTATTAGATTGTGAAATTAATACTGCAATATTCTCCTTTAAACCTTTTAAATCTCCAGGACTTGATGGCTTACACCCATTCTTTTACCAAAAATATTGGAATATTTTAGGGAACTTTGTTAGGGATTTCTGTCGCAAAGTGTTTAAAGAAAACACAATCCCTCTAGAGATCAATTCTACCTACCTCTGTCTAATTCCTAAATTTCCTAATGCTAACAACCTCAACAATTTTCGACCAATTAGTCTTTGCAATACCATTTATAAATTAATTACAAAAATTATTGCAAGCAGACTAAAACCATTCCTTGATAGTCTTATAAGCCTACTCGGTCTAGTTTTTAAAAAAAAATAGAAGGGTCAGTGACAATGCCATAATTATCCAAGAACTTATTCATCAATTCAAAAAATACAAAGGAAAATCGGGCAATATGTTGATTAAAATTGACCTAGAAAAAGCTTTTGATAAATTGGAGTGGTCCTTTATATATAGGACACTCCAATACTTCAAATACCCCCCCCCAAACATCTCCAAATTAATTATGTCTTGTATAACTACTTCCTCAACGGCTGTTATAGTCAATGGAACAAAGACCAATTATTTTTATCCTAGCACGAGAATCAGATAAGGTGACCCTATGTCTCCTTATATATTTGTTTTATGTATGGAAATGCTCTCAAAATATATTTATAACCAAGTGGACATTAGGAAATGGGACCCTATCAACCTTGGCAATAATGGTCCTCCTTTATCTTATCTCTTCTTTGCAGATGACTTAGTTCTAATTGGTAAAGCTAATACCAAAACTAGCTCCTCCATTCATGAAGGCCTTAAGTACTTTTGTGAATTATCTCGCCAATCCATTAATTTCATTAAGTCTAGAATTATTTTTTTCAAAAATTGTAGCAAAACCACTAGTGCAAATATTTCCCTACTCCTTGGCATAAAAATTTATAAATCCTTTGGTAAGTATCTAAGATTTCCTATTATTTATAATAATCCCAATCACAAAGACCACCAGCATATCGTTGATAAAATGAGATCCAAACTAGCTGGTTGGAAATCTGACAAATTAAACTTAGTCGGTAGGGCAACTTTGATCTCCTCACCCCTATCTAGTCAACCAGCATATTACATACAATACACAGTGTTACCAGCCAAGACCATTAAAAAATAGATCAAATACAAAGGAATATCCTTTGGGGAACAAATGACCCAAAAAGGAAACTTCATCTTGAAAATTGGGATTTGGTAACTCAAACTAAGGTTCAAGGAGGATTAGGGCTTAGAAAGGCTAAAACAAAGAACTTATCTCTTTTAGCTAGCCTTGCTTGGAGATTAACCAATAATCCTACTAATTTATGTGCCATTACTCTTCTAAAAAATTATTCCCACGAACCTAGTGAAAATAGCTCTTTCATTTGAAAAAGTATCATCAAAGGATGGAGAATTTGCCAACACGGAATGTCTTGGTCTACCCATAACTCCTCCTTACTCAATATATGAGAAAACAAATGGATTCCCAACTCAAACAAGCTCAGAACCTATGTGATAGATCCCTTAACTAAAAAAGAAAATTCTATCAAAATTTGTGACCTTAGATCTAATAACAAGTGGAACCTTAATGATAATTCTTTTTACATCCCACCAAAAATAAGAGAAAATATACTCTCCACTTTCATCCCCATAGAAAGTAAGAAGGATACTCTTATATGGGACCTCAAGATAATGGCACCTTTACAACTAAATCATGTTACGAACTTATAGAAGGTAACATGCCCTCTGAAATAGACTTTAAATGGATATGAAACTTGTAATGCCCTAACAAAAGTAAATACTTCTTATGGCTATGTAGCCACAATAAGTTATCGAGTAGAAGCTATTTATCACGCATAGGCATAAACATAGACGAACAATGCACGATATGTAGGAGAGAGCCTGAAACTATTTGTCACATCTTTATTTCTTGCCCTTTAGTACAATCACTATAGAGGCATTTGGGCATTAATACTTGTTATTTCCTACCTAGTAAAACCAATTGGCTCCTTTATTTCATAGAAAAAAGCCCTCACATTCCTCATAAACACCGTTTTTGGAATTCCTTATTCCTTTTCACAATTTGGAATATTTGGTTAACAAGAAATAATAATATAAACAACACCTCCAACGAAGTTTCTCTTAAATGGATCATGAATTAATCCATTGAGTATAATCTCTTAACAGAACGCGAGGCATAGGTGGAGTTTTTAGAAATCAAAATGGAAACTGAATCTTAAGATTCAACTCCAAAATAATCTCTAAAGCCCTTATCCACTCAGAACTCATGGCACTCTATCAAGGTCTTTGCATTGCCAAAGACAGAAAACTATTTCCTTTGGAGATAGAAACTAATACTACACAGGTAATCTCCTTTATCAAAGAAGGATGTAAAACATATGACACTCTTATCAATTCATGCAGGTTGCTTCTCGCATAAATGGACATGGTGGTGATGCACCATAATTTCAGACTAGGGAGTGAAGTAGCTAACATTTTGGCAAAAAAGCAGGAACTCTTTCAGTATTCAATAAAGTTAATCTTTTGTTGTTACCTCCACCTTTTGTTATGACCAGGATGCTAGCAGACAAGGGTGGACAAGCTTTTGTAAAAACTGTTTCTATTATACTACTTGTAGTAAACTAGCAAGGATTGGTAATCAGCATGCTATGCATAGGTTATCATCAACTAATGATCCTCAGGATCATAACCACTGTAATACCTAGTTCCATTTGATGTTATGAAATAAATGTCCTTTTTGTCAAAAACAAAAAAATTATGTTATTCATTTGAAAATTCCTATGTCATTAGGAAATATAGAAATATTAAAATATTCAAAACTTATAGGATTAGACTGGGCCTGTTGTTGTTGTATATTTCACTTGATTATTTGGATCAGAGCAAATGAAACTCTCATTTTTTTATTTTCTTCTCATAAAGAAAAATAACATTAAAATGTCATCCTCATATTTTCCCTTTAAGAGGTAATGATTTGACTCTAAAGAGGGAGTCCGGGCATATATTATCCCCGAAAGCATAACCTTGTTTGCCTTTTACAGAATTTCCCAATTGTTCAAGAGTAACTACAAAGATAGTTTAACCGAAAAGAATTTGGTACAGATATTGAATATCTATCCACAAGTTTTCGCAGCTCATTCACAGATGACGAAATCATTAAAAATTTGACCTTTTCGAACTTAGTTTGTAACTTACAAGAGGCCTGATACTCACATCTAATGCTTGTTTTAATACTTGGTGAGAAAATATTCAGCATTATCCTTGTCAGTCGGCTTTTCATTCTTTATGGGAACAAGGCTCTCCTTGTAACTAATAGCCCAATTGGAGCCACAACTTAAATCATAGAAATGAAATCCAAGACTTGTAACTTGTTTAACTGTCTGGTCATAAAACACCAACCTGCAAGTTTGTGTAAGTTCAAAAATGAACTTATCATACTCCCATATTCCAATAGGGTAATGCGAAGGTATAGGAGGATTAACTGTATAAGCTTTTATCCAATTATTCTCTCTTATCCTTACCCATATACCATAATTGGCTGTCATAGCCTGAGTAACATCATCACAAGACATGGCTGCAAGAGAACCACCGCGTAACATTAGAGACGCCCAATGTTCGCCTGGAATAGGTGGTCCTGTCATTTCCCCGAACAATTCAGTTGCTAAATCAAATGTCCGAATAAAGTACACATTGTCTTCTTTGCAAAATCTCTGGCTTGTGCTAATCCAATAATAAACTCCATTCATATAAGTACAGTTTTGGGATATACATATTTGACATAAGTGAGTGTGTTCAGGTTCCAAGAATTTCCAGGAATCGTTCTTTGTCGAATAGACAGCAGCATAAACCTTAGGATAAACATCACTTGTCATATCATCCCAAAATGTTCGATGCCATATAACTTTGTAATCTTGATTCACTAAGTCTATACCAATCCCAAGTCTACGATTATTGTCTTCAAAATATTGTTGTACCTCAAAATGTATACGAGGAATAAGCCTGCACTCTTTTGTAGCAGGATTCCACCAAGCAAAACGAACGTTATCTATATAATGTCCTTTCTCCAACAAGAATATGCCATTAATTGGACCATAAATACATCTAAAATCACCAACATCTTCGCAACGATAAATCCTCTGGTTTGTAGGGACACATCCTGCGAATATTTAATTTTCTCGTTGAGTAAGAACATATCGAAAGACCTTTCACCTGGATCTTTGTTGTAGTTAACGCCGAACTTGCAAAGCATGAGACGAAGACGATTACTCTCACTATTGAAGTGTTTTTTGATAAAATTTGAGCTTTTGATAAGATCATGCCAACTTTTGCACACACATTTGAATCGAAACAGTGACTTAACAGGTAACCTCAATAAAACATGATCAGTAACAAGTTCCTTTTGTGAGTAGCTCTCGATATTGGTTGTCATTCTGCTCAAATTGTAATCTCCTGTAATATATCCAAACATATTGGTTATCTTGACTGAACATGGCAAAGAACAGAAGCTGGAGGATATATATATATATATATATACTAATGTAAAATTTAAAATTGAGCAACTTTAATTTGTCTTCCCTTAAACTTTTGGTCTAATATTATCCTTGTTACTAGGAAACAGTCTATTCTTAATAATCAACTTCACAATATTGATCTAAAGCAATTGTGACAATACAAAAAAATTGGAAAGAGAATTATTCACACACACTTGCAAGCAAAGCTGATCACTTATAATGCTGAACAATTGTGAAAGAAAATGCTCAATTATTATAATTCACGTTAAAGGAAATAAAACAAAAACTAAATTAAAGAAGGAAAGAGACAGGAAGAAACAAAGGCAAACCATAAGCAATTTACACACTCACAAGGAGGAAAATCCTGAAAACTTTTGAAAAAGTAAAAGCTTAAAAACAAGAGATGAATCAACAACTGGTAATCTAACCTTGTATATGCAGATGAAGAAGAAGTAGTGGTTAATTGTATATATAGAGAAAAAACAAACAAGGAAAAAGAGAGGGCAGTAGTGATGTCACGAATAAATCAAGAAGAAAACAGAGGACTAAAGAGACATAGATAGAGGTAAATGTGTTTCGGACATCTCTGATTTATTAAAAGAAAATAATACGAGTAATATTTTTGTATGTTTAATAAGTAACAGCACAGGAAAACAACCAAATCAGCGTAAAATTTGCTAACAGCCAGTGACTTCTTCCATAACTAAAATAAAAATGATTTCCCTTCATTTCCTTAAAAAAATGGGTAAAAGGATCGACTAACATGTAACGATGATTTATAGTGAATAAACAATTCATAAGACTAACTACTCTTGAGTTACATTATACACATCAAACAAAGTAATTCTTCATTGGATTAACCGTAATGGCGCCTCTCAAGAACGAGGAAATTCGAGTCAAATCTGTTATTATTAAATATTCCCTTCATTCACTTCACTATACTAAAAATATATTTTGACTTTTAATTGTCCATTTTAGCAAATCAAGAGAAAAACAACTTTCTTTTTTCTTGTTTTACCCTTATCATTAACTACTCATTCCCCAAATCATTTTCATTATTATGGATAAAATAGTAAAATGCATACTTTATTTATCTTTTCTTAAAAGAGTGCTTAGTCAAAAGTGAACAATAAAAGTAAAAGGAAGGAGTATTATTTTTGTATACTTGTGTTGCAAGATAAATGAAAGCATTTGTGTAGTGACTAATGACATGTATTAAGAATTGTGTTTTGCTAGATAAAANTATATATAAAAGAGGGGTATAGAAAAGTGAGGTGGCACCTCTCTTTGGCCAGCATTGGTATTTATCTTTTTTATTGGCATTTTTCTCTTATATTCCCCTCAAAATATTTGCTGGGAAATGAAAACACTCCATTAAAAAGTCAATAACTGTGTAGATTGATTGCTCAATTAAAAGGGAAAGACATTTAAGAGAATGAAGTCTATGAGTTTTCCAATAATTTCTATTTGTATTAATATTCTTACGTTTTTATGCCTTTTACATTATATTCATAACCTCCAAAAATTTAATGCGCAAGATGATTGTATGTATTCCTCAATCTTTGCACAATTCACAAGCCAAACAACAAATCCATACTGAGTGGCTCTCCCATTACCGAAGACGTGAAGATCCATGAATTGACCCAGAAGAGAAAATATCTCATGGTCATAGGAATAAACACTGCCGAAATTAAAGAGTTCGAACTACCACAAGGTTTTTTAGCTTTATTATATTTGTGTGTTCTGGGTTACTCGTGGGGATACATACTCCAAGGTTGGATGCATACTAAGCATTTTCATTCTTGATTTTTGGAAACACAGGTGAGAAGAAAAAGGTATTGTAATTCGTTTTGTGATTTTCATTCTATACCGTGTGTTTATGTGTATTCTTGATTATAAAAGTGATATTTTCTCTATTTTCCTTAAGTGTTTTAAAAGTTATATTTTCTCTATTTTTCCTATAATATCTTATTTTGAAAATTCAATAATATTCCAGATACAAAAGTAGTAGAGAAAAAGAATTAAAATGAAGGGTAATGCAAAGACTAAACCTTGTGTTAAATTTTTATTTATTTATTACTCTTTTATACATAAAATATTATTGTAACATATAGAATAACTATTTGTTGGGTTGAATTTTCATTTATATATTACTCTTTTATATCATAAAATATTACTGTAATATATAGAAGAACTATTTGTTATGTTGAATTATAAATTTCAATATATATAACATATTTTTGGCAGATTTTTTGTTTAATAGTAATGGTATCATTTCTTGGCATGATGTATGATATCATTAAATATGACAAATAGCACAATAAATTACTAATATCAATAGTTAATGTTTACCCAAGCATATCGAATTAATTAATTATTTTATTTTATTTTCATCGATAAAAGAAGATTTAGTCCTACAATTTAAACATTCAAATTAGCCCGGTAAAGTTTTTGAAAAGGAGCAAAGTATATGCTTCCATGTGTATAAAAAATAAAAAAAAACTGAGTCTTGAAAATTGTAGAAAGAAGCAATCAGCCTTAAAAATATAATTAGATCACAATTATGGTTTATGGTTGAAAATATAAAAAAGATAAAATTGAATAAAGAATAAAGATTTTTTTAATTGTCAAAATTTTAACAATAAATTTTCATTCATATTTATTTTTTTAAGACCGCGCGAAGTAGATTATATAACAATCATACACAGTTTTATATATATTACATTCGCCGACTATTTTTAGTTAGGGTGGCTAATTCTTCAAAAAATTAAGGGAGGGCTTGGCAAAAGACTTACTGGTGATGGTCTTTTCCAAATAGTGGAGTGAATGGACCTTTCCTAACATTTATGTTTTAGAATCCCTTTTCTAATGCTATCAAGTAAACCAATTAGATATTATTAATAGTGTTATCATGTTAACTATTTCTATACTTCAAGAGTGAGTATTTTGAAGGAGAGCCATGGAAAATCAGTAAAATTGTCTGTGTGACTTCTAGGTCACGGGTTCGAGCCATGGAAGCAATCATTAATGCTTGCATTAAGATAAGATGTTTACAAAACATCCCTGGCCCTTCTCCGGTGTTTTGTTCACTAGGCTACCTTTTTTCAAGAGTGAGTATTTTGTGGTCATTAATTTTAAATCACACTTCCTCCCAAAACTAGTCGAAGAAAGTAAAATATCTAAGAGTATTTTAAGTCAAGTTTCATCTTGACAATCTAATATCAAAAGAGCATATTTATTGTGACACGATATTCCAAATTACACGCTAAATGATGATATCTTGTACCAAAAAAGCTACTAATTGATGATATCTACAGTATGTTCTGCTCAGGATGTTACATATTTTTCCACCAAAGCTCCAACCCAACGTCATCACAGCAATAGATTTTCGTCCTTTTATTATGCAGGAATAACACACTGATAATTTTCCAGAGTTCAGCATAGAATAGGACTGGAGGGACCTGATCCTTCCCTTCCCTTTTCCCTTATGTAACTTCCCAATGTATCTACATGCATTTTAACAGGGAAACCTTACCACATTTATACACTTGACGTGAAGTGTTTTATTCTCTATACAAGTAGGTAGCTCTTTGTAGATGAAGATTTAAGTTCGGAACATTTCCAGTAAGCCTCCGAAGAAAAAGCTTGTCTTAGCCAGACCACCAGTTTCAGGTACTTTTGCAGATGCTGGGGCTTTCTTCACATTAAGCATCATTGTCTGTCCAATTTCTTCTCGCAGTCTTTCAATTGTCTTCATCTCTACAGGGTTTCCAGATGCATCTCGTACGTAGAAGACATTCTTTGCTTTCTCTCCGATAGTTGTGACGCCAGCTCTAGTCACTGATAGCCCATTTTCTCGTAGGACTCTCGTAACTTCAGAAAGTAAGCCAATTCGGTCCTTGGCACATAACTCTAGACTAAAACCCTGCATATCAAAGGAATCAAGGCCTAGTGGCATTAAGAATTTGAGGTTGAAGGTTCGTGCATGCCATAATGTTATTAATTGAACTAACATGTGAATGCTTGAAAATCTGATAATATTTGATGAAAAAGGTACGAGTAGGAAGTACAGTATTAGCCATGCCTAATTTTTCCGAAGTATAATGTTAGAGGACCACATCTTGCCGCCAAACTTTCCCATTCATCCCAATCTCAAACTAAAAGATTGCACATGGGGGTCTATTTGATCCCGAAGTATATAGACTAGTCCTCGATTCTTTCGTAAAGTGAAACCTTAACTACGAGTTACTTTAAGTTAGAGACCTTTGTCTATTTGATAAAAGTATTCAGAATGGGGGTGGGACTGGGGCTGGGGGGCTTGATGAAAGTAGCAAGCTTGGATCGGCACCGAGGCTAATCATAATCTTGAGAAGCATTTAAGACAATAATTTAGAGAAGTGAATAATCTCCCTTACCTCACTTATCCTTCGCCGAATCGCAGCTTCAAGACACTTCACAACCTTTTTCTCCTCTTCAGATTCCAGAGTGCAACCATCCATGTGGCGGATAAAATATTCCTATAAATTCAGTCGTCCTCATATTACATACTGCCTACTGGACTTAAAGCCTAATAACACTTCCATCAGTGATTCCAATGTTGAGCCACTTTGAAACTGGAAAGAACTTTAGGTATTAAAGCATAAGCTAAACTAGACTTTTTTTTTCTTTTTTCTTTTTTTTGTGTGC